TTGTGACTTAGATGATTATCCCTTGTGACTTAGATGATTATCCCTCTAGATTAAAGGATTTTTAAAAAGTATTTATTACATATAAATGGTAAATAAGTAATTTGGATAAGGGGCTGGGATTGTGGCTCAGAGGCAGAGCACTTGCCTAGCAGGTGTGAGGCTCTAGGTTTGATTCTCAGCACCACATATAAATAAATAAAATAAACATTGACAACTAAAAAAATTAAAACAAAAAAGTAATTTAGATAATTTTATTTTGAACTGTTTGATTAACTATTTGGTATATACTGTCTTAAATATTAAGCATTCAAATTTAAATATACTATAAAGGACAATATTCTTTGATTTCAGGGAAAATTCTAATTTTGTAAGTTGGTCACCTGATGATTATGGTTCTAAGTTTTTTTATGCATTTATTATTAATTGGCCCAAATAATGAGACCAAACCAATATCTGCATATATTAAAATATATTATTCTTAATTCTTTATTCTGTCAATAGAGCATTCATGCTATTATGTTGTTTTTTATTTTTCATCTGTGTCTTGGATCATCTCAGAGAGGTTGTTTGTTTGTCCCATAATAAAGTTTTATATAGAAAGGTTAAAACTATGTAAATAGTTTTTGTGAAAATTATCAGTTATTTTGAAGGGGTAGAATGGCATCTTTGTTGATAGGAGAACTTTTGTAAATAAAGTTGAAATTTCAAATCAAAAAAAAAGAAAAAAAATACAGGTCACAAAATGGAACTTGCATTGGCATCTTTAGTGGGGGCATTTGGGGATGGGGGCTGATGACAGGGGATTGAGCCAGAGGTGTTTTATCACTGGACTACATCCTCAGCCTTTATTTTTGAGACAGGGTCTCACTACGGCGAAGAAAGTGGACTTAAGCTTGCTAACCTCCTCTGTCTCCTGTGTTGCTGGGATTACAGGTGTATGCCACTTCACTTGGCTGAAGTGGGGCATCCTTGTGGGACTGAGCCTTTAACTTGTAAGGCCTCTGATAACTCCAGGTGTCAGAATTGAGTGAATTTTAAAGGATCCCACTTGAGACAAGAAGGACCAGGGAAATGGGGGAGGATGGAAAGAAGTTCAATTAGAAGCACCTAAACAGAGAATGGAGCAATTAATTCTGGTTCTTCTTTAGCATGGTAGGGTAACTGTAAGATAAAACAACCTTATATATTTCAAAACTCTTCAGTACAAAATTCCCCACACACAAAAGTGATTAATGCTTGAAAGAGATGGAAATGCTTGTTACCCTGATTTGATTATTACACACTGAATATGTATAGAATTGCTACATAATGCATCCCACAGAAATGTACAAATTATGTTCCAATAATTTTTTTTTTCCAAAAATTGTAAGGCACCCAAGTTGACATCTACAGAGAATTTGGGAATTGCTTAGTGGGAGGAAAACACCTAACACATCTGGTCACAGAAATGTTATTATGCTCAAAGTGGAGTAGGAAAAAGCAGTTTGTTTTTTCCTATTATACACAGATACTACTGAAGGGTATATGAGTGAAGAAAAGTCTGGAAACCTGAACACTTCAGCTGGAAACAGAGTATTTTTTAATTCCTGAGTATATTAGCCTTTATTCTTTTCCTCACTGGATTTCTCTGAGATTCATGGGCATATGATATTCAGTTCCGCTCATCTTTCTCATTCTAGCACACGTGCAGAAGTCTCCAGGCAGAAATTTAATTTTGTTTAGAAAACAATTTCAGAGTTTAATCAGCAGTAATTGTTATAAACCATTTGCTGCCTATATACTGAAAAGGAACTGATGGGGCCTCCTTCCTGAATAACTCCATGAGGCAGCCTTCCCTGTTCTATGGCTATGTGCAGCCCAGGGCTATGCTAGGAACTCAACATAGGTCTCAAAATATCTGATCAGTACCTTTAAAAAAAATTATTCTTTTCAAAATTCAGAACTCCAATGTTTTCAGCTAGGTCTAGTTCACTTTCGTTTTCTACAGAGCTCATAACACACACTTTCAACATATTCATATTTAAATTACCTGCCTGATTCCAAAGACATGATTTTGTCCTACTACTAGGAAACTTTGAATTAATTACTAATCTAATAACTGCCCAACAGGAAATCCTCTTCTTGGTAATTGCTGACTAAGTTTCATGATTTATCAGAATTTGGCTTCTTCATGGATCCAGCTACTAGTATTTAGTTTGTTTTTCTATGTTGGCTTATTCATTCATCCAGTCATATATTTTCAATCTTTCAGGAATTCCTAAAACTGTCTAGCCCTCTGATAGCATTCTATCCTGTTTTGTTAATTTTATTTATTTATTTATTTTTACACATCCTTACTGTCATTTAAATGGAATTTTTGGATAGAAAAAAATAGGCAAATGCTAAGTTTGCAATCTTGGACTACAAACCTTAATCCTTTTTTAAAAAAAATAACCCTATTTTGGTACTTGATTCCATTTACTGCTAATTGGTTCTGCTGCCTTAACTGTTTCTAAGTTAAGAAAAAGAGATAGAGGTATGTATTTTAACTGAGGAGTTGTTGTTGACTACTATACACAATTTTACTTAAAATGTGAATTATCCTGATTAAGACAATAGATGAAAGACCTTAGCACAAAACTTGGAATATGGTAAATGCTCAAATAGTAATTTTTGATATTAATTAAGAATTGAGAGAAAAAAAGGAGAAGATTTAGTTGGAGTTAAGAAAAGGGCCAAGGGAGAATGATAAAATCATGTCCCTAAATGAGTGTGAAGCACAGATCCATTTACTGACTATTCAAAAACTTTCTTAAAGTTCATGACGTGTAGTTTTTCTGAGGATGGAATATGAAAGTTAAGGTCTAAGTATCATGGATAAGAACCAATAACTTATTTATTCTAAGGCTAGCTAGGATTATAAAGGTTAAGTCTAGTCAATTACCTAGCAGTTCTTCATTTATTATCATTTTACATTTTTGAAGAGTTTCAGTTGTATTTATTGCTTTTTTAAAAAAGAGGAAACCATAAGTTTTAGTGGTAGTATTTTTAAATTTAAGGATTCTCTAAGATTTTCTCATAAAATATGAAGAGGCTACCTTATCTTAATCATTTAGTCTGAGAAATTTGAAAGGCAATCTTTAACAACTCCAATTTTATATAGTTTGCATCTACAAACTCACACAATTACTAAGTTTATCAGGTTTTGATGAAGAATACTATAGTGAGGAAAAGGGGAAAGCTTGGAACTCAAGAACATATTTTCTACTTTCTGCTCATGAGTACAGAAAATAAAGAATTAATTTAAGATCTATTTGAGATAGGATGGCTTGTCATAAATTGTGTAACACAGACTGCTTCAAAGACAACAGAATTTCTATTCACAGATAGTTCACATATAATTTCATTTTATATTCTTTTTTTCAGTTTTTTTACTGATATTTAAAAAAATGATAGTGGAATGCATTACAGTTCTTATTACACATATACAGCACAATTTTTCATATCTCTGGTTGTATATAAAGTATGTTGACACCAATTCGTGTTTTCATACATGTACTTTGGATAATGATGTCTATCACATTCCACCATCCTTGCTAATCCCCTACCTCCTCTTACTTTATATTCCCCTTTTTAAAAAATATTTTTTAGTTGTCCATGGACCTTTATTTTATCTATTTATATGGAGTGCTGAGAACTGAATCCAGTACCTCACATATAATAGGCAAGTGCTCTACCACTGAGCCAAAACCCCAGCCCCATATTCCCCTTTTTAAGGGGGCATCTGTGGAAAGATACTTATAAGAAATTCTCCATCTAATTGTGTAAACAATTTCAATTTCTTTCTAAATACTAGAGTAGGAGAACTAATTTTTTTTTTTTATAAGTTGAGTAGTAAATCTACACAATGAATAGTCTAAAGTCATTTTTTGACCACCCACTCTTTTCTGTTTGTGGAAGAAAGGAGAGAAAAAGTACACATGAATGCCTCCCTGATAATAACTCCTTTGGAAAGCTGTAATTCTTAGGTAAGCTCAAAATCTACAGGCCGGTTGCTGGAAACTCTGTTAATTTTTAGTTTGATCTCAAGTGCAGGAATTCCTAAATTATGAGGCATAATGCCTTACAACATTTTTTTTTTTTTAAGAGTGAGAGAGGAGAGAGAGAGAGAGAGAGAGAGAGAGAATTTTTTTTTTAATATTTATTTTTAGTTCTCGGTGGACACAACATCTTTGTTGGTATGTGGTGCTGAGGATCGAACCCGGGCCACACGCATGCCAGGCGAGCGCGCTACCGCTTGAGCCACATCCCCAGCCCCGTTACAACATTTTTTTAAATTAAAAAAAAAATGAACAACACAGGAAAATACCAGTTGTACTTTTAATTTCTGAAAAAGAAAAACTATCTTGACTTCAGCTAATTGGAAATTTTTAAAATTAGCAGTAAAAGTCAACCAAATGAATTAAAAATGTAGTGATGTTTGTACATACATTATTATTACATTTACTGACAATATTTGCTGCACTTGAGGATTACAGGTCATTCATAATAATTCTGCAGATTTCATTGCTTTAAATGTTACTTATAAGGTATATAGTTCCAATGATGATACTAATAATAAATAATATAAAGTTATACAGATAAGAGGAAAATATCAAGGACACTGAAAACTCAACATTTGATAGTATCACAAAACAGAGATATCTCAAGGAGAAACAATCTTACCTAACAGACAACGAACAAGCTCAAGTCTTAAAATTCTGATTGTTAGAATCAGAACTGGTCCTTAGACTTAAGTGTTTTTCAAGTTTGGTAGACAGGTTTAAATGTCAAATCTGACAATATCATTTGTCCCTGTTAAGGAATATAGATTTTGGCACCAAATAATTACGCTTTTTCCATTCTTGTTTGAAACAAATGTTTCCATTTGCATAATCTCTGAATATAAAGTGATAACATATTAATTTTTAACAACTATCTGTCTGAAAAAGACAAAGAAAATGATAAAGAAAATGACTCACCACTGTCCTCTGTTTATTGGGCAGGAAGACTCTAACGATAGGTTTTTGTGGTGACTTGGGGTTGCTCCGTGACACATCTGTGGGGTTTTGAAAAACTGAAAGAGATGAAGGTAGCACTGAAAGGCTAGAAGAGGAAGAAGATGTAACGGTGTCCATTGATGCAGAGCTAGAAACAGAAAAATCAGTTCCATTCCCCAGGGATTCCAATAACTGTTGTTCTCTTTGTTGGAGGGCAGCTAGCTTGCTGATGTATTCTTCATAGGCCTATAAAATAAAGTAGACTCACATTGAATCTGGACTTTGCCTAACATAAACAAAAGAAAACACGAAATTTTAGTCTTTGATTAAAACCTTATAATCTAGCTAAAAGGGTTTTAAGTTACAAGATACAAAGTAAATACTGAGAATACTGTAAATGGATACTTTCACTTTTAAATGGATAAACTTGTAGACACTACCACATTACACTGAGAAACCTGACCTATATATGTGATGTTTAGATGGTCCATGAATGTTAATTTAAAAAGTATAGAATTTTCCTATTTTCTGGTCAAATAATAATTTACCTTCCAGACCACAAGTCTAGTATAATATAAAATATTGTACTACTCAAGAACAGCTATCTCCATTTCCATTAAATTTTATTTTCTAGAAAGTTATAGGTATATAAAAATCTCATTTGCTTTCTCTCTCTCATACACACTCACACTCATTCACATACTCTCTCACTTTAAGAACAGAAAAAGATGGGCTAGGGTTGTGGCTTAGTGGCAGAGCGCTTTGTCTCACACATGTGAGCACTGGGTTTGATCCTCAGTACAACATAAAAATAAATAAACAAAAATAAAGATATTTTGTCCACGTATAAATAAAAAAATATTTAAAAAAGAACAGAAAAGGACATAGAAGGATTAAGAGGAATTGTCAAAATACAAGATGGAGGTATATAAATAGATCTCATTGTTAGCACCAAAATCTCCTTCTTCCTGAAAATACTTGTATTTTTCTATTTATGTATGTGTTTATGTATTTATTTATTTGCCATACTGGGAACTGAACACAGGTATGCTTTATCCCTGAACTACATCCCCATTCCTTTTCATTTCTTAAATTTTGAGTCAGGGTTATAGGCCTTGAACTTGTGATTGCCCTGTATCAGCCTCCTAAATAGCTTGAATTAAAAACTCCATGGATCTCTGATTATCTCTTTTCCCACCAAACACTGCTTACAGAATAAGAACTGTATTTGAAAATGTGACTTACACCCCATAATCAAGAAATTCTGGGGCTGCTGCAATTGTATATCCTCAAAGTTTTCATTTAACTAAGGCTATAAGGACAACTGTCTACATAAGGTATCAAATTCTAAAGGAAGAGATGATATTTAAAGTAAAGAGATGGAATAAATTGAATGCTGTATGTACACAGTTATTATTTAAGGTAGTGGTAATTTTACTTTTAAGTATTATATATGAGAAATAAACAGAGAACACTTCAGATAAAGGGTGAAAATTAATGGAGGAGGGGCTGCCTAGAAAGGTTGTCACTTGGAAGGAGGATATATACAGGGAGGAGAAACCTGTGTGCAAAAGATATTCTATAACAAGGTAGGGAGATGTGAAAGTTTAAGATACAGAGGAAAAACTACACACTGGTAAAGCAGAACACCACATAGTATGTGGAACAGAACAAGGGATCAATGTGTTTGTAGAATTTAAACAAACAGGAAAACAATAAGACTAGAAAAATGATAAGAGACCAGAGTGTGGAGAGTATATATATGGCATGCTATACAGTCTGAAATTTATTCTGTAAGTAAAGGAAAAGTACCAAAGGCAAAGGAGAATGAAAAAGAAATTTCGTTTCAGTAAAGATTACAGCAGCAACATGATATGTTATATCTCACCACATAATTTTGAAGGTAGGAAAAAAAAATGGGGAGAGAGGACTAGTAAAATGAACTACTAAGGTAATAAGAGACTAGACTACATCAAAATACCCTCTCCTTTTTAAAAACTTGCTAATTGCCCTACTCTGAACCTAAACTATTTCAGAGACTATCAGGGCATTATAGACATCAATTCAAATTTGTATGAGCTATAATTCTGTTTAGCTTTCAGTTCCAACAGAAGGGCACCTTTCTCATTTAATAATTTTCGAAATTCATTCATTGAGTCTCTAATCATTCAATAAATATATATTTAGTGCACATGTGCCTGGCATTGTTCAGGGTTTAGACTACAAAAATAAATAAAACAGACAAAACTTATACCCTTTGAAGATTACATACACACAAGTGAGAGACAACAGCTTCCTCCCAATATACATAAATATTCTTATTTCCTGTCATCTGGGCCAGTACATTTACTACATAAGATTGAGCTTAGGAAAGGTAATGAACTTGTGGAAACATTTTTCAAAATGTTATTTCCCTTATCAAAATGTTAACTTTAATTTTTGAAAATATATGGATTCCTCCATTATGGATTACAAATTATAATTTCACCACATTTATCAACATCCCCTCCTCTTAAGTATGAAACGTATGTACTCCACCTCTCTTCATCCTTGAAGCTGCTATTCACCAAGGCACCTGGGTCTTTTTAACTCATTATCCTGCCTTAGAGTTACCTAAACTTATCTCTAAAGGCATTTATTTCTATTCTGTCTTCAAGACCCAGAGACACTCAAACCACAGTATTTACAAAAGAAATCCAAACGATGACAAGATCTCAATTTGAAGCTGTTCATGACCTTAGATGCACACACATATACCTTCTTCAATTTACAACTTACGACCACATTGATCTGTTCAGGTCAATATTAATCCCTCAAGCCATTTTTCATATTTGGGCGACTGCTGTCTTCCTTCCCTTCCTCTGTGGCTCATCATTTTAATAATGCCATTGTAATATCTTGGTTCTCTAGCTAGAAAGTTACCAAATAACAATTTTGGGAAAATCCCACCATTTGATTATTCCATTTTTCTCTCAAGTTACTACATACTTGCTGAAGAAAAGAATTCGTTCTAGAATAGTTTCCATTATCAATTCATGGAACTTAAGACTCATATGGTCCTTCACCCTACTGCCTGAAATTTTTTACTTGTTTTTAATAACATCATATATTTATTTTAACCTTCTCTATTTTTCTCTGGATCCCAACCTCTTCCTCCAACCTTTAATACTTTCTGGGTTTTTTTTTTTTTTTTTTTTTTTGGTGCTGGGGATTGAACATTCTACCAACTGAGCTATTCCCCCAGACTCCTTTAATTCATTCTGAAAACAACATTATCTTCAACTTAACCACTTGAAGATTAAAGTCATAAAATGAAAGCTTCCTCTACTTTTTGTATCCTTCCCCATCCTTCTTCTACTCTATTCAAGGGCCTCAACTAAGATGGCCTTGGACCATCATCATCTTTACCATTTTCTCTGATATTTTCTGTTTTCCACTGTTTTCTAACTACAAATATGAGCAAGTCAGTTCCACATAAATATATATTTCAGTGACTACTACCAAAAAAATTCATTAGGTTTTTAAAATGTTGCATATATCAGACACTTCTTCAGAATGCATCTTTTCTAATCAAACCCTAATTAAGATAAAAGTCAGAGAAAAGAAAAAGATAAAAGCCAGAAGAGCTATTCTTTCCTTTACCTCCTTTAGAGTATTAATCATACTCTTCTTTATATGGCTAATTTTTCTTATTGCTGAAGTAATTTTTGGATGGTTAAATGAGATGACAAATAAAATGAAGATTACTAGACTACCACAAAGCAATAAATGCTGTTGTTAGTAAAAATCAGTAGCAGTGAAAAAAGTACCAGTAGTTCTTGTGAAGAATTACTAGAGTATGTGGCCAAGTTCTTGACATTATTCTTCAAAACTATAAGTTAGTTGAGGGTACAGATGGCATCTAATTTTTTTTAATACTTATTTTTTAGTTTTAGGTAGACACAATGTCTATATTATTTTTATGTGGTGCTTAGAACCCAGTGCCTCACGCATACTAGGCAAGTGCTCTATCACTTGAGCCACAACCCTGGCCCCAGATGGCATCTAATTTATTATAATTCGAAAAAAGCATCATTAAGATGACAACAATCCCCAAGTTGATCTACGGATTCAATGCAATCTTTATCAAATCCCAATTTTCATGTTTTTAAAGAACTCAGAATACATCATAACAATCTTTAAAATGAATGAATTTGGAGAACTCATACTGTTTCTAAATCTACTAAAAGCTACAATAATCACGGCAGTGTAATATTGGAATAAGCATACTCATTTAGAACAACAAAACAACCGAGGGTCCTAAGGTCTACTGATTTTCATCAATGGTGCCAAGATAATTTGATGGAGGAAAAAAAATGGTCTTTTCAAAAAATGGTACAACTGGATAGACACTTGTAGAAGAATAAAGTTAAACTACTACCTAACATCACATTACAATTTAACTCAATTTGGGTGTGGTAGTGTACACCTGTAATTCCAGAGGCTTGGGAGACTGAGGTAGAAGGATTCCATGTTGGAGGTCAGCCTCAGCAACCTAGCAAGATACTCAGCAATTTAGTGAAATCCTGTCTCAAAGTAAAAACTGAAAAGGACTAGGGATATAGCTCAGTGGTAAAGCACCCCTGTGCTCAATCCCTAGTATCAAAAACATTAAATCAAAACAGAGCAGATACCTAAAAAGTACAAGAACTAAAACCATAAAACTCCTACAAGAAAATGTAGGAGTAAATCATCCTGACCATGAATTAGGTAGGTAATAGTTTCATATATATACACCCCAAAAAGTACAGCAACCAAAAAAAAAAAAAAAAAAGGAAGAGAAAAGAATAAACCTGACTCCAATCAAAATTAAAACTTTTATGCTTCAAAAGATTTGACAATGGGGCTGGGGATGTGGTCAAGCGGTAGCGCGCTCGCCTGGCATGCGTGCGGCCCGGGTTCGATCCTCAGCACCACATACCAACAAAGATGTTGTGTCCGCCGAGAACTAAAAAATAAATATTAAAAATTCTCTCTCTCTCTCTCTCTCTCCTCTCTCACTCTCTCTTTAAAAAAAATAATTAAAAAAAAAAGATTTGACAGTTAAAAGAAACACCTCATAGAATGGGAGAAAATATCACAAATCCTATTGGATAAGGGCCTACTATCAAGAATATATAAAGAATATATTACAACTGAAGAATAAAAATACACATACACCTGATTTGAAAATGGGTAAAGATCCAGATCTGATGGTGCATGCTTGT